TCAATGTTGTCCACATCCCTCCTGAAACTGGATGCGGTACTCCAGCTGTGGCCTGACCAGCGTCACATAGAGGGGGAGGATCACCTCCCTAGCTTTACTTGAGATGCACCTGTGGATGCACGACAAGGTCCGGTTAGCCCTACCAACCGTGACCTCGCATTGTTGGCCCATGTTCATCTTGGAATCAGTAATGACTCCAAGATTCCTTTCTGCCTCTGTGCTCTCAAGAAGGGAGTCTCCCATTCTATAAGTGTGCTGCTAGTTTCTACTGCCTAAGTGCAGCACCCTGCACTTGTCAGTATTGAAACGCATCCTGTTTGTGTCAGCCCACTCCTGTAACCTATCCAGATCCTGCTGCATAAAGTCTTGTTGTGTATTAAAAGTGGATTATGTAGAATCACACTAGCAAAAATAAATCTATGGGTATGCTCTCAGCACTGTTTAATGAATGACTTCAGAAGCAATGATACAAATGGTGAAGTTTATTGATGTTGAGAAACAAGATAAAAATGTAGCACTCACAGGTGTTATGAGAAATAGAGGTGTAAGTCCATTGTCTGAATAAGACTGACTATAGATTTGAACCAAAGTCTGTCATAACATGGGTGAATGCTCTACTAGACTTGCAGGTAGTTTGGAATGATACACTCATTTCAGATTTTCATAGATAGAATTTAGACATCGAATTTTGGGAAAAAGGAAGTGCCAAACTTGGACACTCAATTGAAGGAGTTCAAAGAATACAAAGAATGTAGTTAAAAGAAGGAAGAAGAGGGGACAATATGAAAGAAGATAAGTAAGAAAGAAATAGACTGAGATTGCTAACATTTTAAAGAGCTGAGTGAAAATGGACTTTTGGGACTGATCCAAAGTTTATTGAAGGTAATAGGATGACTCACTTGAACTTCAGTGGGTGCTGAATCAGGACTATTAGTTTATTTATTAAAATATAAGAGAACATTAATGATGATAGATTCATAACGATGGAAGGCAAGCACTAGATCATGAAGTTATGGTGAAGTAGAGAAATTTGCTGCCACAGGAGGCCATTTAGTTAAACATATGAGAGGGTTTTCAACAAGCTTGGTTATTTAATGCTCATTTATGATAATTGCATTTCTACTTAGATATCTAATACAGGTAATCAAATCCCCTCCTTCAAGCTGAAAGAGGATCCATTCTGGATACCAGGAAGGATTTTTCTCCTTAGATTGACCATAGTGTATAGCTGGCTGGGAGCAGTAAGAAGGGCTTCTGCCCTACTCCTAAGCATCCTTTCTAGATGCCTCTCCTATTGTGAACAATGTGTGTTCAAGTGTATTTCACTGTAACACAAAAATGTGCCATGTTAGCAGCATAGTTTCTATTTGTTTTACATAATTGTAATATCCAGAAGCTAATCAGGACCTGGCCCCATTTTGCTGTATTGTGAAGACCTTTTCTACTGAGGGCTTTATCAGTAAAAATTCACCAGAAAAATCTTATGGCCCATACTACATCCGTACCAGGGCTTTTGCTGGCATAGCTACAAGACAAAAAACAATCCCCCCTGTAATTCATACAGCTATGTTCACCAACCCTTTAAGGACAATCCTGACTGAAGGCATTCATTCAGAGAAGGCAAAAGGCCCCTGCATCCAATAGTTTGAATAAATTCATTTAGAATAACATGTGAGAAATAGATGGAAGAAACAATAGGATGGAGAAGAAAGGGCAGATGAAGGAATCACTGGCAAACCAATTACTTTGGTGTCATTGCAGTGACAGGACAATGGCAATGCCCTCAACTTGCCTGCTTTTACCTGGATCTGTGCTATTTGTTCCTGAATTTGTGCCATGTAGCTGTGTGTGAGGGTGCAACATGGCAATTTTGGGAAATGCTTGGGGTCCAGTAGGTTGCTTTCAGTTGCATAATCCTAGTTAGCAGGTCTTGTATATTTAATTCAGGGAAGAATAGGAAAAATAAGAGACTGATTTACCACTCCTTTACTCCAGGTTGCCGCAATTTCAGTGATTTTGATCAGCTGAGGCCACGGAATTACTAGAGCAATGCTAGGGGAAGGCAATGACAAATCAGGTCTTCAGTGTCCTCTTACAGGGACAAGCTGCAGCCAGTGACAGTGCTGAAATAGAAACCATAGGTAAGGCATTACCTCAGACAAGCTGCTTCCTCTGCTATATTGGAAAAATTTTACAGAAAACAGCCAGTGTGGCTGCTGTTACAGTTGTTATCTATGGCAGTGCTCAAATATCTCATTTTCTTTGCACTTTGGAATGCATGCATTGTCCTGGAAACCACAAATAGCTGGCCTGTAACATTTTCAGGTGGAAACCACTAGCTATGGACTTCAGGGCTATGCAGTATCAAAGGCGTCTCAATGGATTAGCACTTGATTAGTGTCAGAGATTGGTCCTCCTCTTGGTATGGTATAACTTTGAAAGGTTTAGAAGGTATTATGATAGTTTAACACCCCTTAACTAACGATGGCTCCCATTTTAAGTGCCTTTATGATGTTTTTAAGGCAACCTGTGCCAAAATCTCAAGGCTCTGGGAAGGGCAGTCAGTGGAATTGCTCCTCAGCACCCTGCTGCTTCCTTGTCATTTTAATTGACTACCCTTCATACACTTTCGTAGTGGACAGAAAAATCCCACTCTGAAACCACAGTTGTCCAAAAAGCTGCTAGAAGCCACTTCTGGAAGCACTGAGGTGGATGACACATCTCCTACCTACAGCACTACACGCGGCTTGCCCCTCTCCAGCTAAATCTGGCTGCAAAGGGAAAACAAGCAAACACTTTCGGATACGTATTTCTCCGATCAGCCGCCAGAGGATCTCGCAGCCAAGGAAGAGCCGTGCAAGTAGCAGCTCTTCCTTGCCAGGAGAAGAAAGCAACACAGCGGGACCTCATCTCCCTGCCAGCGAGTAGGACAGAGCCATTCAGGAACGCGTCCTGCATCTGGAACAGGGTGAAATCCGTGTACATCTCAGCCCTGCTCCAAAGCAAGGCGGACACTGAAGCTCTGTATTATTCTTTTGAAAGGACTGGTTTCCTCCTAGGGTTTTTTCCCCTCAGGGTGTATTTAGTGCCTGTACCACGGAGCCATCTGTCCTGCCTGCCTGGGCTCAGGGGGTGGGGCAGTGCCAGGGCGGGCGTCGCTCTCCTGGGCGCTCCGGGCGCTGTCCACATCCCGGGTGCTGAAACGGGGAGCTTCGGGGGGCGCCGAGCTGAAAGCGCGCATGCGCACATAGGAGGGACAATGGGAAACCCCTTCCACTTTTGTTGTGCAGCTGGCAGAAGCAAGGTTTCATTTCCTTGTGTGTGGCGGTGATCTCATTTATCTGGGCCAGGCCAGAAAGACCTCTCACGAGCTTTTCCCGACTCCCCTGCTGCTAACAATTGCAGATAACTGTATACCAGCTCCAGTAAACGATTTGCCGTGCAGTCTGTCTGCTTTCATAGGCAACCAAGTACGGTCTTGCTAGAGCACTCTTTTTTTGCTTTGTTTCTCCTCTTGACCGAGCTGGAAAAACTGTTGCTGGACATTGTAACTTGCTTGCTACTCTTTCAAAATCGTCGGTGACTTTATGCTGGACTTTGCTAAAGTGAACTTTAACCGTATCGTTTTATTTCAACAGGGAAGACAAATCAGAGAGCCTGAATACTTGTATAAAACCTGCTACATGATCTCATGGTGAAGGAAAGCCCATATTCCCCTTGCTCTTAAGAGAGCAATTGTTTCCTTCAGTGAGTTTACGCGACGCTGTTAAATACTTTCCCGCCACAACATGCACTTACACCCTCTGTCTTAATTGGCTTCACACACCAGGAAGACGGTTACTGATCTGGAAAGAAAAAAAGATGCCTAAAATTCATGAAACCTTGCAAACGAAGCACGTCAAGCCATTACAAAAGTAGGGTTTTCATTTGAATAAACATTTCAAAGGAAAACCTCAACATAGGCATTATGAATTGTAAGGGCCCGGCAATAAAAAAGAGCCTACATTTGAACTTCTGATCTCCCCCCTCCCCTCATTTTACACACACACACACGTCTACAGTTGCACTGGGTTCCCCTACTGGCGACATAAGAGCTATGCACGTTTTATATAACAGGTGATTAGTATTAATTTACATTAATTGCAATGGGGTAAAGTCAACAGAAAAGAGAAAACTACTAAATAATCTGTTAACTGGAAGTGTCCTTTCCAATAAATGTGCATCACTGGAATTAATTGCCTAGATCATGTCGGATTTCCTCTAATCTGTAGCATTCAAGCAATAAATAACTTAGGGCACAGAAATCCTTCTCTCTCTGTAAATAACTACTTTTAGACTTCATATATAGGCTATTCTAATCGCAAGATTGCAATTGTATGCGTAACTCTGTTTTGCACTTAATGGACATTTGGAAAGCCCTTTAAGAGGGAAAAGAAGGGATCAGGCTTTAACATTTGACTTTCGCACCCGAACAAACTTGTACGGGACATTTTTTTTTTATCTATGTGTTTGCGTAAATCACAGCGCTGTCTTGGTTTGCACTCTGAAGTAGTGGGGGAGATGGCTGTTACTTGGATACGGGTAGTAAAAAAGCTAGGGAAGTCAATAAAACCACTTTAAAGGCAGTATACTAATATAGGGTGTTCAGATTGTTACTTGGCTTGAATACATTTTGGGTCAGTCTTATTTCCCAACCCTCATTTCCTACCAGCAGAAAATAAATAGTTTAGAAGTACCCACTGGAAAAGTCTTTCTTTTTTTAAAGCTGGGCTGTCTGCTGTGTTATCCGCTCCAACATCTAAACCACCTCTAATCACCTCCGATAGCTCTGAATGGGCAATCAGCCGGCCCATTTGGGACCACAGTTGTCAAGTAGGCACTCTGGATGCCCGCTTGGGCTAATTATCCTGGAATTCCCTCCCAGCAGGACTGCATTATCGGGCTCTCCTCCCCTCGGGCGTCTGGGGACCCGGACGTGGCAGCCTCGGGATCGGTGCCACCCTCCTCCTGATTGCAATGGGGAGAGACCTCCCCGCGAGTGCCAGGCAATGCACAGCGATGAAGCGCCCGGCTGGCTCTTCTACCGCCCCTCAGCAGCTGTCAAGGCGCTTTTCCTTGTGAGGAGCAAACCAAAGGGGATGGGTCCCTGCTAGTGGGGATGGATCGAGCCCAGGCAGAGCAGCTCCCTAGGAGAAATTGCCCCTGACGCCTGTCCTCTAATTGCACCGGGGATTCTCCTCCTCCCCCCTTCTCCTTGTGTGCATTGTTACGGAAGGGGGTGGGGGAAGGCTGCTCGGACACCTGCTCCTGTTGGACCACCCGGGTACCTGTTGGTCAGTGATAGGAGGCAGGGTGCCGCTCCACGTCCATCTCTCCTCTCCGCCCGGGCTCTCGCGCCGCGCTGCAGTGCCGGGGCCGGGGTAGGTGATCCGCTGGGGGGATTGGTGCTCCACTTTTTCCGCCTGTTGTTCTGGCGGGGCTCTGGCCGTACGCAACCTAAGGTGCCTGGCTAATGCCATTCTGGGAAGCAGGAGGGGCCGCGTCCTTCCTCCAGACAATTCATTGCCGGCGGGGGGGAGAAAGGGCTGGAGCGCCGGAGCTGCTGAACACCTGTCACACCGTGGAGCCTGATTTATACCTGGAGCTGGACGGACCTCCTTGGGGCTTTTCTGGAGCACTTTAAAGGGGGATATCCTCTTCGAGAGCCCAGGAGAAGAGGACAAGAGCTTCATGCTATTCCCCTCCTCTCCCCCGGGTGAATATTCCTGCAACGTATATATCGCGTTTATCCTTCTCCAGTCAACTGCACCTTTTACCTGGCCGGAGCGGCTCAGATCATGTCAGCTAAGCTTCTAGTGGCTTTCTTCCTCCTCTCTGTATTCCAAGCCTGGTAAGTCTGCCCTGTGCGCTGCTTCTAGTTTGGGGATGATGGAGGGGAGGGGGGGTGTTTTCTTTTTCCCCACCAGTATGATGTGTGTGTCTCATGCTGGACTGTCACCCCCGCCCCCCCGGAGAGTTTGCAAGGTACTTAGTGCGAGAAGCACATCAGGGTGCGCTCTCCTTTCATTTTTACCCCCATGATGCTCTGCAATAGCGTTAGCCTGGTTTACACCAGGCAGTGGGTCTCCAACTCCTCCGCAGACAGGGAATTACCCTCCAAGCCGGGTTTTATATTCTTATTGCTAGGCTCAGGGTCGCCACTTAGTGCCTGAAGCTCGTTAGGCTCCGAGCTTCGATAACGCCTTTCCACCTTACCTGGCTTCGCAGAAAAGTTTTTTCCTTACTTCTCACTTTAGGGAATTAACCCAGCCTTGCCAACGCTTACTGACACGGCACTAAAGCAGGGCTGGGGTGCCAGGGCTGGCTAACCGGATTGCTTGTGCAGCTGTTCCCACTTAATAGACACGTTGCAGTTCCTTTCCTGTACCAGGTATTGTCTGACTAGGTCAGGGATGACACTGAACCAAGATGTGGGGGGGGGGGTTGTTTTTCCCCTCCCTTAGGTTAGCCTTCAAAATCCTTGGCTCCAGGATTTGAGAAGGCATAAAGCTTGGGAAAGCAAAGGCAGGATGCTCTACCTGCAGGCAAGTGAGGTCAGTCTAGGAGAGCAGGCAAGCCCAAGCTCCAAGTCACCAAAGGGGCACTGCAAAAAGTCCTTTGAATCTCCTGCGATGCTGATTTCTCAGAAGGATCACAGCGATCCTTTGGTGCTTGGATCAAAACAGCAATCTCCTCTGGGGGTGTTTATCTAAAACAATCATGGAAATATCTCTGCTGGAAATCTCACTGTGGAAATGCCACCCTGGGAAATGTTCTGAGATTACCTCTGTGGGTCCCCAGGAACCTCTCCCCTCCCCGACCCCCCCCACCCCACCTTTTTACTTCCTAGGGATAATCCCTACCTCACCCGAGTTGCATTCAAGTGGGATGCAGCACTGAAGGAGTAAATTACTCAGGACTGGGCCTTCCAGCAGCTCCAAGGACCAAGTCTTTAAGTGAGGGAAGCTACCTTGTTATTGAGCTTTTGAATAAAATGAAGATGTGTCAAAAATGTAAATGATTTCCCACTTCTTACACCATAGATCAATTGTTAGGACCTGCCGGAGGGTTGGGGGGTGGGTGCTGAGGAAGGAAAGGTGAAAGAAAAGCAACCCCCCCCCAAAAAAAATCAAACCAAAACAAAAAAACAACCCAGACATCAAAAACTCCTCCTCCCAGCTCCTGTGAGGAGATGCCCCAGCATTTACATCTATCTGGATACCAAATACTGTAAACTCAAGCCAAACCCAGCATTTCTCATTGGATACCATTCTTGAAGACCATTAAGTCTCCTACATAATAACTGCAGGGAACCCAGCCAGAGGAATCCCTCCCTAACAGAGCAGCTGCAGTGAAGTGAAAAAGATAAAGTTTAGAGTTAATTTGCTTCCTCTCTTCCTCTCCCCCCCACCCCACAAGCAGAAAATCTCTTTCCTAATCATTTTCAAGCACTGAGATGCAAATTCCTGGTTATGTGGACAATTAGATTTTTTTTCCCCAGTCTGTGTGCCAGTGCTTCCCTCTTAGTTCCCCTTATGCTGTAGTAGTACTGCCTCACTGGATGTTCAATTTTTCCTCCATCCCAAAAAATTCCAGATCTACCCCTTTGATTATGACTGACAAGTATTAAGGTCTGAAATGCAAGATCTCTGAATTGAGGCTAGAGAAAACTGTACCACTTGCCAAGAGATCATTGCACACACTGGTTTCAAGCTTCTCTGTTGTGTTCCTTGTGCACCTCACTTTTGTCTTTTCATAATAAAGCCTGTGTTACCTAATGAGGATTTGGAAGGCTGACAGGTCTTCTGCCTATTTCCTAAATGCCAAGGATTGCGTCCCAATTTTCCTGTAAATGTCGAAAAGGCTGAAGGTCTGGGAATATGGCTGTCACTCCTAGAAGTGAGAACTAAGCAGTGAAACTGCAGCCTTAAAGCTTAGTAAGACCTTAATTGTTCAGAGGCAAACAAGGGAGGTAATAAATTGCTTGCAAAAAATTTACATAATGTACATCACTGTAGTTAGCATAGATTACTTTGAATAATTTTAGCCACCTCTCTCCACCCCCAGTTGCAATCAAGCACCTAGTTAGGCACACAAAACCTCCAGGGTGAAGCTCTGTGGGAAGCAATCCACTGAAGGGAGAAGATTTAAAAGACTTGGCAATTATCCGATTTTTGTTGATTATTGGTTTTAAGGAACCTGCAAACTAATGTGTAAACTATTTTATAACACTGAGAGGATTAAATTAATTCAGTCCTCATTGAAACTCCTGCAGCTGCAGGGTAGTTCCAATGGTGCAGCTCAGGCCAGAATTTAGCTGGTCCTTGGCTCACATTCACCCAACCATGCAGGTTGTTAGTTATGGGACACAAGCCATGTATATCTAAATGATGCATTCTTTCCAAGCAGTTCAATGAATTATAGCATTGCAAATATGTGGCTTATCACAAGACTCAAAAGAAAAGAAAATATCTTAGATTGAGTGACACATGAGCAAGATGATCTGAAAATTGCAGCTTATGCACCACAAAATAAACTTTCATCCTTTCAAACATACTCCCATTCAGTTCTTAACTATTCACATGTGATCCTACAAGCTTTCCACACAAAGGACTCTCAGTGCCTCCATTTAGAAATGTTTTTATATAGATTCCATAATCAAGAAATAAGTTCTTTACATTCGGCTTATTCTTTGCAAAAGCCTCAAAAAGGATCCTAAAAGAACAACTTAATTTCTTATGTGTATTTTTACCCCATTTATATGGCATGCCTGCACTGGTGTATTGACGGGGGGACGGGTGGGCCATGCCCTCGGGCACTGGCTGGGGAGGGGGGCAGAGGCTGGGTCCTCTAGGGGTACTTGGTCCCCCGGCACCACTTCTGGATTCATTCCTGGGGTTTCCAGGCTTGATGATTGGATGCTGAGGAATCCCCCCTCCTCCCCATCCTGCTTGGCAGCAGATGTGGAGGACATATATGGAAGCATTGGCTCCCCGGTGCCATAGACCCATGGTGCACCACTGCATGCCTGTAACAAGCAATCCAGGCATATTTAAAATGCATATACAAAATAAGAATAAAGTATCATTGTTGGTGGGTGAATGTACATGAGAGAGAGAGAAGGGGAGAGGGAATGCAAAGTACTGTAACACCTACCAAAGGAGAAACAAACTCCAAAATTAACTCAGTGAAAACCCCAAGTTAATTTATAAAAGTAGCAAGGTGCCTAGAAAATAAACAAATTGGCACTGGGAGACGGGGAAGAGCAAGGCCAAGGGTCTAAAGCCTGGTCAATGCTTGCAGTGAAAACTGAACTTTGACTTGAGCAGATCCTTGGTGTGGACAAGAACCATGAATTTTATACTCAAGGCACAAAGCCATGGAGAATAAGTGGTTAGTTTTTAGGCTGGAAAGTAGTAAACACTGGGGTCCCCCAGGGATCCATGTTGGGACCAGTGCTGTTTAACATATTCATAAATGGTCTGGAAAAGGGGGAGTAGCAAGGAGGCCAAACTTGTGGATGACGTAAAATTATGCAAAGTGGTAAAGACCAAGGCAGACTATGAGGAACTACAAAAGGATCTGGCACATTTGAGCAAATGGGCAATTAAACGGCAGGTGCAGTTCAATGTAGATAAGTGTAAAGTGATGCACCTTGGCAAAAATAACCCAAACTATACCTACAGTATGGTGGGCTCTTCATTAACTGTTACTACACAGGAAAGAGGTCTGGGAGTCATTGTGGACAGCTTGCTAAAAACACCAGCTCAGTGCTCAGCAGTCATCAAAAAGGCAAATAAATAAAATAAAATAAAAATGTAGGAATTATTAAGAAGAGAATTGTAAATTAAATTGAAAGTATCATCATGCCTCTTTATAAATCTATACCTTGAATACTGTGTCCAATTCTGGTCCCTACATCTCAAGGATATAAAAGAACTAGAGAAAGTCCAGAGAAGGGCAACAAGGTTGACTGGTGGTATGCAGGGGCTCCCCTATGAGGAGAGAGACTAAAGAAGCTAGACTTACGAAGTTTAGAAAAGAGATGCTTGAGGGAGACATGGTAAGTGTTTATAAGTTATTAAACAGTGAAGAGAAAGCAAACTGGGATTTATTATTTACTCTTTCTCAACACAAGAACTAGGGGGTCACAAAATTAAACTAGCAGGTAGTATGTTTAAAACTAACAAAAGGAAATTATTTTTCACACTGCACATAATTACAGTATAGGTCTCACTGCAACCAGATATTGTGGAAGCTGACAAATTAGCCAGATTCAAAAAAGGGACTGAACACATTATTGGAGGAAAGGGATATCAGTAGCTATTGAGCATGGCAGTTAGGGATACAGCCTTTGGATCAGAACTTCTTTGACCCTACATGCGGCAGACTGCAAGTGAGAGGAACAGTAAAAACAAAACAACCCTGGTCATACCTAGTTCTATTTCCTTTTCAGCACTCCATCACTGGGTGACATGGCATACTGGGAAAGATAGAGCTATTCTTACATATATTCTTGTTCTTGTGCAGTCGTTTTCATCTGTGCAAAATAGCATCAGATCAGAAGGGCAACCTGTAAGGTAGAAGGCACAGATATTACCCTCCCTCTATCCTTCGTGTACATTTCTTGTCAATTTGAGCATCCCAGATGTTCTTGAGGGATCAGGTAGAAGTAGACGCCAAGATACTAAGGACCCAAACTGTTAAAAGCTTCATAAATTAAGCTCAACTCTTTGCCTTGCACTTGGGAAGGAGCTACACTGGCAAAAACAGTTTCCTACATGTGAAAGCTGCATTAACTGGGCAGTCACATCCTGCACTAGCTGACTAGTTATTATCTTATTTTATTATTATAATCATAAAATACGGATAATCCAGCTCTTAAAGAAAGAAGAATTTTAGCTTTCAAAATCCCCCTGGAATGGAACTGTAGAAAAGTATCATTAAAAGTGTAAGGCTTTGATTCTGAGATTCAAACTGACTTACGCAATGTATTTATGTGCTTGTGGTAATCCATATTACACTCAAGAAGCAAGTTCTTAATTCTAAGCCCTGTATGACATTAGGTTCTGAATTTTAAAAGCACTGAGAATATAATAATTTATTAATAGGATGAAATGATCAGTAAGTATTAAAAGATCTGAATTTTTAATATTCTTATTAGCCTGCTGTGCAGGAGATGAATCAGTTGTGTTGAAAAAGTCATATGATAATACTGCAGGATATTCACTTACCATGGGAATCTGACAAGTTAACAACTATAGGTAGGTTGAATGTATGTATGAGTATGTGAATGTGCATGCTGGGGAGAAAGAAGAGGGGATAGACGTAGTTTGATACCTGCATTAATTCACATCTTAAAGTTCCACTTGGACATAATGGTAGAAGATGACTTATACATTTAGTGTCCTATATACTTTTATCAATAACAGCACATCCTTTAACAAAATTCAAAGAAATTGGTAGCTGTTCTGCAACAAGAACTCCAAAACTTTTTCAAGTGTCTGAGGCAATTTTGTGACAATATAAATTTGGACTGAATTCTTAAAAGATAACATCTAATTTTTTTAACGCAGTTCTAGGAAAGTTGAAGAGGATGAATATGAAGATGTAACAGCTAACCAGAAATGGGTATTAGCTCCCAAAACACAAGACACAGATGTGACTCTCATACTAAACAAGTTGCTGAGAGAATATGACAAAAAACTACGGCCAGATATTGGAAGTAAGTGCTCTCTCTTTTTTCTTTATAGGAGAGAAAAGATAAAAGAGTAAACAGATGCTATTATTTTGTGTTTCTATGACTCTGGGTTGTGTGCACAACACTAAGATTAGGAATGAAATTTTTTCAGAGTTTGGGAAAGTTCAGCCCTAGAATTCTAATGCAGATGTTTAATGGCAGCATCTCATGGCAATTTGTAAATGCTGTTTCTCACTGGACTGTTGAAGACATCTTAATACAGTCAGGGCTATTTTAAACATGGGCAGGTTGAAGGACAAGAAGTCTATATGGCTAGCCTACCAGATCTCTTGGCAGGTCATTGGAAAAATCAGAAATAGACTTATTTCTGAACAAGGCAGGTGAGCAAAGCAAAGAAAATCCCAAACAACCCACCCCCCTCTGAGCCCACAGCTCTGTGCACCCCAATGAAGGATAGAAGTAACACGGGATGACAGGGGAACAGATAATAACTTGTTTGTCTTCAGCATCCGGCTGTCTTGGGAAAAAGATGGACTGACAAAACCTAACTAATGTTATTTACACTATAATTCAACCTTGGTGTGGCAGAATTTATGGCAGAATTTTACCCCTAATTCTTTTAGAGTAATTCTCCACTGGATTGTGTGGCCAGTTTGCATAATGTGCTATTAATATATTTTTAGAGAAGTGAGGGATCATGAACAAAACAGAACTCGGGTGACAGCAAGCACATTATTTTACCAGCTAGTGGTCCGATGAGATTTGAGGCAAGCAGGATGAGGCTGCAGACAACTCTTATTTATTTAATGGGTGCCAACCAGTTAGACTCTAGTACAATACCAGCAAATCTACCTAATACTAATAGAATAGCTAGAAGGAACCTTTTAATCATTTTGTTTTACTGTACTCAGGGACCATGTTTGACATCTGTTTGATATCTGTGTTATCTTTTCATCATGCTAATTTGTCAGACTAGATTTGGATAATCTTCAATACCTGATGGGGTAAATTTTTTTCTAAATCCTAAGGGTAACATAGTTCCCAGTCAGCATTAACATCTGCAAGAAGTTTGAGGAAAGATACTTTATTTGACTCTGTACTCCATGTCCTCACATCACGAACTTGAATGAAGAGGATAAATTATGGTTATGTCCACATGGCACAAGATAATCCTCCAGAATCTTAGTACCAGTTTCCTTAAGAGTAGTTGCAACACATTTTCCAAAACAGTGAAAGATTATTTACTGATAAAATAATTGCGCTTTTCTCTTCTGAATTGTTCTTAAATCTTGTTTTAGTTTACCTAGTTTATTTACATTTTTTACCAAAACAGTACATTAAAATGATCAGTAAAATAAAATTATATGTAATAAAATAACAGCATTTATATAAATTTCTATTTGAAATAGTTAAATCACACAATACCTCATGTATGTTACCAGAGAGAGATTCTGCAGCTCAGTGTTGCAGTTTATTTACCGTAATTTTTATAAGGATCCCTGGCAACACTACCTTTATCTACTGTAATTTTTTATAAGGACCCCTGGCAGCACTCCCAGACATGAACAAACTTCTTCCTACAGCAGCCATGTGATATAGAAAAGTAACATTGACATTTAATAGATAAGAAATTGACTCACTTGCCCACAGTCACACAAAGAGCTTGCAGTATTGTGCTCAAGCCTTTTGAAGCCTAGTTCAGTATTATGACCACAAGCTTCAAGGTATATCAATTTATGACTAGAGATAAATGAAGAACACTAAACTTTCTTCCTTATCTGAGGCATGTGTAGCATAAAGGAACCAGGAAAAAGTGCATTAGATACCATGGTGCATAAAAGACAAATGCACAGTTTGGAACACTAACTAAGAATAGTTTTACAGAAGTGCAGGTAATGCCACTGAGTAAACTGTTAAGGCCAAAATTAAGCTAATTGAAAACACCAAAGGTTAAATCCTGTAAAAGGACACATTAACTTGCTCCTTAAGGGGTTTTTGTTAGTTCAGCATTTTCTGAATGCTGAAAGCAAATCTGCTACTCCACAAAGCAATGACCAAACACCATTTTATGCAAAATGCTTGGTCAGTATATTCAGAAATGGGTGGTTCAACTTAGGCTTCTACATAGATGGCCTGATTTTTCAAAAGCACTGAGCACCCAGAACCTGCTGCCAATAGGAGTTTTCTGTTTGCTCTGTGCATTTGGAATTTAGGTCACTTACATAGATGACTAACTACAGATTTAGGAAGCCAGCTTTAGGGTCCTCTATTTGAAAACTTCAAGGGTTTGTGGCATGGCAGAGCACACCAATCATACAGTGAAGTCATCCATGGTCTTTTATTCTGCCCAGGATATCTGAGTGTTCACATACCAGACTTGAACCATTTAGTATTTCAGCCTGGCACCACTTCCAGATCAGGCAGAAGGCAGGGCTGGGTGGAAGATTAGAAACCTGAGCGGTTCAGGGCATGAGCTTTCATAGACAACAGCATACTATCCCTTACTGAGTGACCTATACATGAGCTCTGACACATTCTAGTTAGAATGCTCTAGCATTGCCACAATGTCGTGTGTATTAAGTCCCCCGCACTTCAAAATGGCTGCAGGAGCACTTTAACTAAAACTCATTGAATGGGGACTTAATACATGTGATGCTGTGGCGTTTTAGTTGGAGGAGCTCTCTGGGAACTGCTCTAATTAAAATGCCACTCCCCCGCCTCACTCCTGAGCACATGTATAGGCAGTCTAAAAGCACGAGAGATTTGGTGTTTGAAAGCATTGTAGAATCACTCTCTTTCCAAAGCTAACCGCTCATGAATGAAAGTGGTAGGACATCACGTTTGCAGCTATAGGGTGCTTCAAGTTTTAGATGAGCCTGAATGTACAACCTAAACATAAGGCAAAGCTACTACAGGTACTTCAGGGGACTACTGAGCTAATACTTTCAAAACAGGTAAAGGAAATTGTTGGGATTCAAAATCAAAGCAACATCTAACTAATGATGTCATTGTCTGGCCCTGCTGCCAAACATGTCCATGGGTTTTTTTCCTCTACAAATACCACAGCATGTGGGGTAGCAGATTGATTTTATCTGTTGTTTTTTGGCAGTTTTCCATTATGTCATAGAGCAATAATTACTTTCTGAATTGAAAAGAAAGAAAAGCTTCTTAAATTTCACAGCTTACACCACAGCTTTAGTAAAAATGACTTTTCAAGGAAAGATTGCATCTTTCCTACTCACTTTCTGGGTATAATTGTGTGGCTAACCACACCAACTCCAACTGGCCCAGGGAACAGGAGCATCCAATCTTGCCTGCAGACCTTTTCTGCAGTGCTTCCAAAGCCAGATGCTCAAGAGCCAGATTCAAGCCTAGTGAAGTGACAGGAACAATACATTTCCTCCAGTGGGTTTTGCATCAAGCCCTGAGTGCATACCAGACAATTCCCTCCCCCACATACTCTGGATTATGATCTGACATTTAGTCAAAGAACAACTGCTATCCCTTCATATTTATTAACCTAATTGCATGAAAAATAATGGGCCCTGTTTTAGGAGATTTAATATTGCCTGAGATCTAGAAAACATGACACACATCAAACCTCCATTCATTGGTCAGATTTTGCCATTTCCTTAAATTTTCCATCTGATGTTAGAACCTGGTTCTGTGTTGCATAAAAGTAGTAGATCAACAGCTATGCCAAAATACATTTCCTTTCAATTTAGTTTATTTAAATAAAATTATCATGCCCACTTAGCTTATGTACAGTTTAGCTTGTGAATGACCTTCCAAACAAGTGAAAGCTAGTTTCACACTGCTATCTTACTTAGATTTCATTTTTTTTATGTGATAGAGTTGATCTTGGACTCTTAGAGAAAATGTTATTGTTTCAAAAGTAATTTTTTTTAACTTCTTATGGACAGAGCCATTGCATTCTGTAATATAATTTTATATCTAAAATATAACATGCTGTTCATTCTATTTTTGGTAACAGTCACCTTACCACAATGAAAGGCTTTCAGTGGGAGAAACTTTGCATACAAAATAAGGATTAACATGAAATAAGCACATAGACAGCAGAACTCCTACCCCCAACCTAGACATGTGGTCAAGTAATAGTAAACTGTAACACTTACATAACGAAGGCACTGAGTTTATGTTACCCAACAACTATAGAAGCTTTCTGGCACACTTTCAGTGCCATCCTATACCTTGACAAAAGGATTGCCTACAGTAGGAAGGCCCATTCTTATCTCTTGTTAGCTAATGTGATAACTACCATAAGACAGTGATGCAATGGTAAAGCAGATTGTAACCGGTGCCCTTTTGGTGGCGTGCAACCAGGCGCAATGCGAGTTTTTTGGTCTTTGCCTCTGGGCCTTGTTCAACAGCCAGTGCTTATCTTAATATCTATGCCTGTCTCCTAGGCCTCCCTTCTCACCTGCCATGACTTTGATTTTCTTTACTTAGACTGGGAAGTTGCCACAGGTTAGGGATTTCAGGCAAGACTAATGGCTGTTTCCTTGAGCCTCCCTTTTCACCCTGGCCGTTCACCAACCAGCTGTTACATCATACATGCTCAAAGTCCTTTTAGGTCAATTCTGTGTCAATAATAATCATCCAGTTAACTTAATAAAGTCTTATTATAATTTATAAAGAAAATGGCGTTATTAAAGAACTCACAATTTGATGTTCTCTGGTCTCATATATTTATGTCTTGTTATGTGACTCCTTGGAGAATGCTATGATCTGAGTCCTGCTCTGGTGTCCCATTGGCTAGACCTTTCTCCAAGTGACTGGTCTTGGACTGCTTGGTGTCTGGGGTAGACTGCCTATGCCAAACCAGTCCTGGTCCCTCGACCAGCTGCTTTTGTCTTTTTGGACTTCAAGCTCATGCCAGTTTTCCCTGGCTTGCTTGCCCTGATCCTAGTCTTCCCCAGCTTGGTTCTGCTGGTGCCAGTCTTCTCTGGCATGCAAGTAAAGCTGCCTTTGCCAGTCTTCCCCAGATAGCCTGATCCACTGCT